CAGACAAGGTTCTTTGGGCAGATGTAATATCTTTTATTAGACCAACTAAATAGTTGGAAAAATTGTTCTTTGCAAGCTTTCAGGCACAAGCACCCTTCTTCAGGCATAGGGAAAGTCTGCTGGTGTTTGTGTGCTTTCCTGGGTAGAATAGAAGCCAAAATGCAAAATGCAGGTCTGTGAAAATGCAAATGCGTCACAGTAAGTTTCAAAGGAAATGGGAGACAATAAGTATGAAAAGGTAGTGGGGGGGAAGGGGAAGAAGATGATAAAATGTAGCTGGTGAGATGCAGACGGGTTACCTGGGATCATCAGATGGCAGGCAGCTTATAATGTGCCATAAATCTAATGTCTATATTTAGTCCATGATTTTTTTAATCCAGTAGATTTATGGTGAAGTGAAGTTCATAGTCTCATCTATGAAAAGTATTTTGTAAATTCCCTTTGAGGACTAGAACTGAGATTGGAGAGAGTGGTTGTCTTGTGAGAAATGTGCACCCACAAGTAATTGGGTATTTTTGCCCTTGAATGCACACCAAAAATCTATCATTCTGGTATCCATGTCTGAGCTGCGCACACAATATATATAACACACTAAAAGCCTTTTTACTAACTTTATGAGTCGGTATTTCCTGATGTTAAATGCTAATGCAAAACATATTCATTCTTAAGAATGAATCTACTGGATTGCCTATGTCTGGGGTTAACCAAGTCTCTTAATTTAGCACAAAACAAAAAATCTGATTCCATCTCTTTCCAGTCATTTGTTAGCCCTGTTGTGTAGCCCTTCCCAGTCTGTTTTTCTCTCTTGTACATCTTGCATTTTGACTTCGTATTTAGTTTCTGTTTTAGAATCTATTTTTTAAGCTCCTTCTACCTCCCTTCTCCAGAAGGCCATTTACTGCTTGGAAAAGGAGAAGAAGAGAGGGATTGCAAAGTGTATTCATTGAAAGTTCTGACAGTGAGATGCATGTGCCCTTGTAGCTGGGTTTAGTACTACAGGGACAGATCAAAACAAGAGAAGTGTGAGCCTAGGGAGCTGCTACCAAGCCAGTGGTCCTCTGGGGCTAGGGACAGACATTCAAAAAGCCTGAGCCTGAATTGATTCAATCTTTGCAGGTTAGTCTAACCTACCTAGGCTGAATCAGTTTGTAACCATACAGACATCCCCTCTGGACTGAAAAAATGCAGGCATATGCCTGCAGTGGCTCAGGCTGGAAGCCAGGGGGGCACTAAAACAGCCCTCCCTTCCCTTCTACAGTGCTGAGCTGAGGATGGGGGGCATGGTCAGGTCTCGGCAGGATGCTCTGATTAGGGAGAGGTTCCCCTCACACCCCCTCGGTCAGCAAGGAGCCAGCCAGGATTTACATAGCATTTAATTATCAGTAGGGAACATTTATCACCCCATCAGCAAAACAAAAGGATCTCTCCATTAGTTCAAGCTCTTAAACAACTAGTTCCAAAGAAGGAATGGAGGGACATTACCAGCTTAGCTATTGCTTAGCTCCAAAGAGCCCTAAGCAGCACAGTCCTGTCTGTCTTTGTCCTGTCTGCCACAGCACAGACCGTAGCCAGCATGTGCTATGCTAGCTAATGCCAAGAGGTGTCTGTGTATGGCAGAGGGGAGAGGGGAATCCCTGCTTAGCAGGGAGTAATGAGGGGAGGGTGGTGGGGGAGTAGGGGGAAGCCAGGCAAATGCCTGCAGTCTCTGCCAGAGCTTAAGCGAGGAAGCAGAGGGGAGAGGCCAGCTCTGCTGTGGAGCAGAGAGCCCAGCCTAGAGAGTATGCCAGGATGCTGGGGGAGTCTGGTTTAACTTAAACCAGGAAGGGGTCTGGGACAAACATTGCATAAACCGGTTTGACCCAAATCAGTTCATTTTGATACTATATTCAACCGGGTTTATCTCAAACTGGTTTCAGCCTTTTTCAAACCAATTTATGTGCACTGAACATCTGGGCTAGGGACATTTATTCAAAAAGCCTGAATTGATTCAATCTTTGCAGGTTAGTCTAACCTGTCAAGGTTGAACCAGTTTGTAACCATACAGACATCCCCTCTGGACTGAAAAAATTCAGGCACATGTCTACAGTGGCTCAAGCTAAAAGCTGGGGGTGTTAGAGCAGCCCTCCCTTCCTTCCATACTGCTGAGCTGAGGGGGTTGTGACCAGGCCCTGGCAGACACTCTGATTACGGAGTGGTTCCCCCCCACCTCCTTGATAACTGAGCATTTATCAGCTTTGTTACCAGCATTTAGCACCCCATCAGAAAACAAAGCCTCACTCATTAGTTCAAGCTCTTCTTAAACAGCTTTTTCCAAAGGAAGGAATGAAAGGACATTACCAACTGAACTGTTGATTAGCTCCAAAAAGCCACGAGTGCAGATTCAGGGTCACCCCCCGCTCCTCTCGCTGCCCCCACCCCATGAGCCACAGCTCCATCCTGTGCCCCCCTGCTCCAGCTGGGCAGTGCCTGCCCCTGCCCCCTCCCTCACCGCAGGGGGCATTGATCTGCCCCCCCGCACCCTTTCTCTTCCCCCCTCCCTTCCGACTTACGAGCTGGAGGCAGCTCTCCACGCTGCCGGCTCTGCTCCATGTCGTGCTGCAGCTGTGCGCAGCATGGGCATTTATTGGCCAAATTATCGGCCCCATCAGGCCAATATCTGATATAGACAATTTTGTTTATATCGGTACCATTCCAATATTGGACCGATGTATCGGCGCACCTCTAGTTTAATACAGTTTCTGATAATTTAAACCAGTTAATGTGTAATGTCTGTCCCTAGCCCAACTGTTCCCATGACTGCATTAAGTCCAATAAACAAGCAGAAAGAAAAGATATGACTTTCAAAGAACTTCCAGATGCTTTATTTGCCACAGCATTTGCAGGGGGCAGGGCAGACTGGGTTGCTTTTTATTTCTTCTCCACCTGAAAAGTCTGTGCACTCCCCTTCCCTCATTCCCTGATTAGAGGACTCTGCTCTAGAATCAAAATTGCTACATTTGGGTTTTCATTTGTCATTTTCACTATTCAGGCAGTAGAGGAGGCTGATAAACATGGATGTATGCATTGAGGACAGATTTCATTTCCCAATTTTTTCAGGGATCTCTTTCCAACCTTCATCGCTGATTTATAGTATGGCTTCTGCTATATTATGCAAATATTGTGTCCCTTTTCCTGCAAAAGTATTTTTAAAATAGACTCTTCATATTTAGTTCTGCAAACAGGTTTCCCATGGGAAAACAGGTGATGTTCACTTCTCAGTTTTATGATATGTACAGAATATATCCCATCATCATGAGCTGCTGCAGAGCAGGGCTATGAACTGTTAGGAGAGCATACCAAGTAAAGCAATGAAAAGTAGGTTAGAATTAAAAAAAAAAAAAAAAAAAAAAAAAAAAGCATTTACTTCATTTCAGAGTAGTGGTTCACAATTTATTACAGTATATCATGTTCCTTTACTTGGACTGTAAATTATCCAGCTTGTAATACAAAGCCTTTATTTATCATAAGATAAATGCTACCAATTTGGCTTTTGCAAAAATAATGAAGTAGTAAGTGCTGTTTGCTATGCATTAAAGAGGCAGAAACTAGGGATAAAAACATGCCAAACTTTAAAAAGCATAAAGAATGGTGCTGGTATGTACCACCAACACTAATGCCTGGGAAACACTCATATGCAACGTGGATCTCACTGTGCCTTTTATATTGTTCAAGCTTCTAGACATTCATGTTTATATTCAAGATATCTAGTAAAAATTTGAAAATAATCATCTAGGTGTGGCATGTAACTTTAAACTATCAAAGGTAAAAGCTGCATGAAAAGAAGCTGTTCCATACGTTTCTCATTTCATTTTCTTTGAAAGTAAACTTGATGGCACATATCCTATTTTTCTTCATGGAACTTGGGTGTAGAAAATGTGTTCAGACTCACAGTTATTGCTGCAAGTGTTCCACTGGTAGCTAAGTATATGGTAGTGGCTCTGGACATGACTTGTGTCCAGTGGTTTTTCTTTTGGCTCATATACAAGCAGTTCCGGATGTTATCCGCTATAAGACTGTTTTTTAAGAGTGGGTGGTGAATATCAGTTTACTCACAAAAAATGAAAAGTCTCAAGTTACCACATTGTAGCTTGATTGGATGCTATAATGATTAATACTACAGGAAAAATATAGATAGGCAGTTTGCCAGAGCCTGTGGATGTTTTATGTACTTGCTTTCCAAAGCCTATTATACAAATTCCTGCAACACTTGCACAGTTGTCACTGTTTTCATCTGACTGCACTGTTATATGGAGAAATAACAGAGGAATATATTTGAATGAAGCTCTAATTAAACTCTCCTATTTTGAAACAATTGCTTCCCTTAGCTACCACTGCCAAGTATTTCTTCTTTCTGGGACAGAAACAAAGTAAAGACAGAGTCCGGAGAAGCTAAACAAAGCTGTTTCAGCTACCCTTTCTATGAAATATTATGCAGCTGGCTATCCATTTCAAAGAGGATCCATGATTATGTCTTACATAAATATTTAGATAAAGAAATAGTTGTATGTACTGAGAAACAAAGGATATACTGGTGATAAATATGGATAGGATATCCTTCTAGAATATCATGGTCCAAGTGGTTTATTATATCAATGCATCATAATAGCTGTAAAGAGGAGTATATATTTTTTCCATTTTAAAAAACTTTATAACATTAATCTTAAATGTAAGCTTTTTGTTGGCACTTAATGTCCTGATGGGACATGGGAATCGCACTCTTAAATTACTTCTCTGTCTCCCATCAGAACTTTCTTGTTCAGCTATGACCTATTTGCGTCACTGAATCTTTTATTTGGTTTTTTGGGTTTTTTTAAGTGTTCTGGACTGCTATCAAAATGCTATCTTTGCAATCTCCATTGTGTTGGTTTTCAAACATCAATGAATGCTGAATAGAAATATACAGGAGCAAATTTCTGTTTAGATTTAAGTGACTCTTTCTAATAATTTCTTTTTAATTACAGAGCAAAGAGATTGCATTCCAGCTTCATGAGGATTTAATGAAAGTTCTTAATGAGCTTTACACGGTAAGCACATTTATTTAGCTTCTGTTACAAGACTTTCTGTTTTATGTACTTTATAACATAACAATTCACCACACAAAAATAACACACTGTTTTTGTGAAATCATTCTTTTTTCCATATAATATGCTTATCTGAGCTGTATGCATGTCATGAGTTGCAGTCAGATAAGGTTAGTGCAGTGGGCACCTTAATGATGAGTTTAAATTTTCTGCTTTATCCTCGATACATTTTCAAATCATTCATCACTTTTGTAGGTATTAACCTTTCAAACAGTTTCAGACCTTTTACACACTCATAGTTCCATAGTTGGTAGGGTTGGAAGGGACCTAAGTAGATCATCAAGTCCAACCCCCTGCCATGGGCACGAAAGAGTACTGGGGTCAAACAAGCCTGGCTAGGTGATTATCCAGCCTCCTTTTGATGACCCCCAGGGTAGGAATGAGCACCACTTCCCTTGGAAGTTGGTTCCAGATCCTAGGCACCCTGACTGTGAAGCAGTGCCTCCTAATATCTAGCCTGAATCTACTCTCAGTCAACTTATGGCCATTATTCCTTGTTACTCCTAGTAGGGCTTGGGGGAACAGGGACTCCCATAGCCTGCTGGTCCCCCTTGGCCAGTTTGTAGATGGCGACCAGATCCCCGCCTCAGCCTTCTCTTGTGGAGGCTGAACAGGTTCAGGTCCCATAGCCTCCGCTCGTAGGGCTTGCCTTGCTGCCTCCTGATCATGCAAGTGGCCCTCCTCTGGACCCTCTCGATGCTGTCCATATCCCTCCTGAAGTGCGGCACCCAGAACTGGACGCAGTACTCCAACTGTGGCCTGACCAGTGTCGCATAGATGGGGAGGATCACCTCCTTGGACCTGCTCATGATGTATCTGTGGATGCATGACAAGGTGCAGTTAGCCTTCCTGACCGCGTCCCCACATTGGCAGCCCATGTTCATTTTGGAATCAATAATGATTCCAAGATCCTTTTCTGCCTCTGTGATGATGAGAAGGGAGTTCCCCAGCCTGTAGATATGCTGCTGGTTCTTCCTCCCCAGGTGCAATACCTTCCACTTGTCCATATTGAAACTCATCCTGTTCTCATCCGCCCACCCCTGTAACCTGTCCAGATCTAATTGTAGCCTGTCTCTCTCCTCCAGTATGCCCATTTCCCCCCACATCTTAGTGTCATACACGAATTTGAACAAGGTGCTTTTTACCCCCTTGTCCAAGTCGCTGATGAAGATGTTGAACAGTGCAGGCCTGAGGACCGAGCCCTGGGGGACCTCACTGCCCACATCCTTTCAGGTCGAAAGAGACCCGTCTACCTCCACTCTCTGGGTGCAGCCCTCCAGCCAATTTGCGACCCATCTGACTGTGTAGGTATCAACGCCACAGTCACCTAATTTCTTCATGAGAATGGGGTGAGAGACAGTGTTGAAGGCCTTCCTAAAGTCCAGATTTTGTGACCTAGTCATAGAAGGCCACTAGGTTGGTCTGACACGATCTCCCTCGAATGAACCCATTTTAGTTGCCCCCCCTGCAGGTCCCATGCAGATGTGCTCCTGGATAATTTTCTCAAAGAGCTTCCCTAGGAGTGAGGTAAGACTAACAGGCCTGTAGCTTCCTGGGTCCTCCTTCCTTCCTTTTTTGAAAATGGGGACCACATTGGCCCTTTTCCAGTCCTCTGGCACCTCATCAGAGCACCATGAGTGCTCATAAAGCTGTGCCAGGGGTCCCGCAATTACCCCTGCTAATTCCGTCAGCACTCTGGGTTGGAGATCGTCAGGACCTGCTGATTTGAACACGTCTAGTCCCACCAAAAGTTCCCTGACTAGGTCCTCACTGATCCTAGGCGTGGCAGCGCCTCCCCTGGGTCCGTCAGGGATCTCAGTGTGGGGATGCCCCAGTCCCTGCTCAAAAAAATGGAGGCAAAGAAATTGTTAAAGAGGTTAGCTTTGTCATCTAGTGTAACCACCAGATTTCCTAGCGTGTCCTACAGAGGCCCTACGTTACCCGGTACCTTCTTTTTACCTCTCTACAAACTTAGCTAAATAATTTTTTTTTCAACTGGATATCCTAAACTTGACTCCCATGGCTGTATAATGCCACATGATTCTCAGGCTGGGAAGGACCAAACTACACAACTGGGCTCTAAGTGCTTACTGCCATGAATTGGCTTATTGCTACTTAAAGTAAGAGCAGACTCCAGATTGGTGTCATAGGCATCTAAATAATGTCAAGATGGAATTTCAGTACCTGAGTTTTAAACGGTGCCGGATTAGCCCAGTTTCATCAGCCCAGAAACTCACTAGATGCCTAAATTCTTTTGAGTCCTATATTTTGAACTCCAGAAATCCGGATGGATGGATGGATGGATGTCAGCTTTTAAATGCACCCAGACTTAGACTTTTAGCACCCACCTAGGTCTTGTGGCAGGCCAGAATGTGTCTTAAGTCCCTAGAGTGCCCTGACCCAATAGGCATCCTCAGAGTACACCTAACTCACAGTGACAGCAGTACAGAGTACAGCTGGCATGGTCATTTTCAGTCCAAAATGGAGGAGATGAGGGAAGATGAGATGGTGTCCACCTTTTGCATAATTTCTTAGTGTTAAAGCACTTGCCTATGAAGTAGGAAACACTGATGAGGGCACTCTGCTGGGAAGAGTGAGACCTGCATCCTGGTCCCTTCTTCCAGGTTTATTTCTGCTTTTTAATCAACAACCATCTAATGTAAAATGCACAAACAGTCCAGGAAGCAGAAACCAGAAACCTCTCCCAGCTGAGAAACCTCATTGTTGCACTACGAAGTCAGGCTTCCTGGTGCTTGTTCGCCTTCTCTTTCGATGACTCTTGTGCACTTGGTTGCACACTGACTCGTCTTCAGTAGGATGCATGGTAGACACCCTCCACTCTAGCACTGTGGTTAGGACACTTCCTTGACAACAGGGAGATGTGGGTTTAAGTCCCCTCAAGATTCAACCACTAGACTGTTGAACAAAATACCACTGCTGCTGCCACCCACAACCACTGGTCCCACTGGAGGCATTTGATGAGTCAGGTGTCTAAGCTCTGGAGAAGTGTAACAATTCAGATACACCCCTGTGCTTAACATTTCCTACTGGCTAGCTTTAGATACTTCTGCATGGTTGGAATTACCCTTCAAAGGGTGCTTCATTTTCTGTGTACCTCAGATGCCTATTTCTGAATCATCCTTTGGAGGCTCTATTGATCATATAGGCTCCATTAGGCGCACCTAACCCTATCTAATGGAATTCATAGAATCATAAAAAGTTAGGGTTGGAAGGGACCTCAGGAGGTCATCTAGTCCACCCCCCTGCTCAAAGTAGGACCATCCCCAAGTAGATCATCCTACCCAAGGCTTTGTCTAGCCAGGTCTTAAAAACGTCCAAGAATGAATATACTTTGGGTAACCTGTTCCAGTGCTTTACAACCCTCCTAGCGAGAAAGTTCTTCCTAATATCTAACCTAACCTTCCCTTCCTGTAACTTGAGCCCATTGTTCCTTGTTCTGTTGGCTGCCACCACTAAAAGCAGTCTAGCTCCATTCTCTTCGGAACCCCCTTCAGGTAGTTGAAGGTTGCTATTAAAACCACCTTCAATCTTCTCTTCTGCAGACTACATAAGTCCAGTTCCATCAGCCTCTCCTCATAAGTCATGTGCCCCAGCCACCTAACCATTTTCGTTGCCCTCTATGGACTCTCTCCAATTTGTCCACATTCTTTCTGTAGTGGGGGGCCCAGAACTGGACACACTACTCCAGATGTGGCCTCCTGAGTGCCTAATAGAGGGGAAGAACCACTTCCCATCGTCCGCTGGTAATGCTCCTACAAGTGCAGCCCAGTATGGCATTAGCCTTCTTAGCAAAAAGCGCACACTGTTGTCTCATACTCAGTTTATTGTCCACTGTAACCTCCAGGTCCTTTTCTGCAGAGTTGCTGCTTAGCCAGTTGGTCCCCAGCCTGTACCAGTGCCTGGAATTGTTCTGTCCTAAGTGCAGGACTTTATACTTATTCAAACTCAAGAGATTTATTTTGGCCCAATCCTCCAATTTGTCAAGGTCTCTCTGAATCCTAGTCCTACTCCCCCTGGTTGGTGTCATCCATGAATTTGTTGAGGGTGCACTGATAAAGATATTGAACAAAGCCAGTCCTGGGCATTCCACTTGACACTGCCATCCAATTAGATATTGAGACATTGACTGCTACCCTCCGAGCCCAATGATCCAGCCAGTTTTCTATCCACCTTACAGTTCATTCATCCAACCTGTACTTCCTTAATTTGCTTGTGAGAATATTGTGGGAGATCGTATCAAAAGCCTTGCTAAATTCAAGGTATATCATAACCACTGCTCTTTCCGCATCCACAGAGCCAGTCATCTCATCATAGAAGGCAATCAGGTTGGTCAGACATGACTTGCCCTTAGTAAATCCATGCCGATTGATACTAATCACCTTCTCTTCCAAGTGCTTTGAAATGGATTCCTTGAGGACCTACTCCGTGATTTTTCCAGGGACTGAGAAGAGGCTGACCAGTCCATAGTTCCCTGGATCATCCTTTTTCATCTTCTTAAAGATGGGCACTATATTTTCCCTTTTCCAGTCATCTAGGACCTCTCCCAGTCACCAGAGGTTTTCAAAGATGATGGCCAGTGGCTCTGCAATCACATCGGTCAGCTCCCTCGGCACCTTTGGGTGCATCTCATCCAGTCCCATGGAATTAGTCATTTGAGGCCAAGCATTTCATTTTTAGGTACTATAGTTCGTAAGTGCAGGTGCTAAATTGGCCAGTCTGGGAGTGGCTCTGAAGACGTAATCTTGCACATGTTGAAGTTGATAGCAGAACTCACATTGACTTGAGCAGTACAAAGTCAAAAGCATTTGCCTAATGGCTTTACTGAACCAGAAGAATATTGCAGGATTGGGCATAAGTATTTTATTTTTGAGTTTTCTCTGATTATATTTTCTCCATTGTCACAAGAGTGTTGTCTGTTCCCT